TGGCAGTATAGATGGGGCCAATTAAGGCCAGCTATAATTCAGATTTTCCTCCTTAAGAAATGGGCATTTAGCCTCACACAGAACAGGAACAGCCTGGAACTTAAAGAAAGTTGTTCTTTTGGTTGCTAGGGGGAATTTATATTTTATTGTATTGATTTTACATCTTTTGCTCTCCCAATACACAAATGGCTAAAGAGAGAAGTGGATATTGTCTATATTGTTGTGCTGTTCTAATTTTAGAGTTTTTTAATACTGGTAGCCAGAAGGGTTTGGTGGGTATTGACCTTGAGTTTTGGAATTGTAGTTCACCTACATCTAGAGAGCACTGTGGACTCAAACAATGATGGATCTGGACCAAACTTGGCATGAATACTCAATATGCCCAAATGTAAACACAGATGGAGTTTGGGGAAAATAGATCATGACATTTGGGAGTTGTAGTTACTGGGATTTATAGTTCACCTACAATCAAAGAGCATTCTGAACTCCACCAATGACAGAATTGGGACAAACTTCCCACACAGAACCCTCATGACCAATAGAAAATACTGTCTTTTCTGGTGGTCTTTGGCAACCCTTCTGACACCCCCTCGCAACCCCCCTCCAAGGAATCCCAAACCCCAGGTTGAGAAATGCTGCCTTAAGGCCATCCAGTCCAACTCCCTTCACCAGGGCAAGAAAACATAATCAAAGCCTTCCTGACAAAGGGCCATCCAGCCATTCACACACACACATATATGTATATGACAGATGCAATATCAAAGATTTGAAAGGGAACCCTAAAGAAGGACAATAATATGTTGCATGTTCCAGAGTAGGCAAACCAGACATCAACACTGGCAAAGAAACAGCAAGAAAATACAGTTTACCAACAAGCATAAAGACATTACATATACGTATTAGAAACCAACACTTTCTCATTACCTTATTTTCCAGATCACCAGAATGGGCCACAGCAACGTGTGGCAGGGGACCGCTAGTGTATTAATAAAAAAAGTATGTATTTATTTATTTTTATTCACTGTATTTATAACCCATCCTTCTCGCCTTGAAGGGGACTCAGAGCGTTGATTCAACTCTATAGGCTGGTCTTCTCTTTTCTCTCTATAGGTAACCTGGCAAATCATCAAAATCCTGACCCTTATACTGCAGTCGCTGTAAATATTTAAAGGATTGTTGGCAGAGTCTGCAGGTAAGTGTTTTATCCCTATTTAGAAAAAGATAAATCACAAAGTCTTCCAGTCATCCAGGCTTTTCTTCTTATGCTTCCTAATCAAATATCTGATTCAAAAAAATACAAAATCTAAGACTGGAGGAAGTGAAGAAGTTGCAAACAAACCCCAATGTCCTGTTCTATTGCGTATTTTTAGCATCCCAATTGTTTGCTTTTATGGATGTTTTTTTCCTGCATGTCACCATTGAGGTTTCCAGAATCATAAACTAATTCCAGAATTCGTATCATTTTTGGGGGGAAGGAAATTTCAAAACAAACATAATAATTCCAGAATCATAAACTGTTAAAAAGGAAAGGAACCTAAAGGTTGGACCACAGTTAGAACAACTACTAAGTGCATCTACACTGTAGAATTAATGCAGTTTGATACTACAATAGAATGTCGTTGAGTAAGTGAAAATGTTGGATAATAAGGAGGGTTAAAGGAAAAGCCTATTGAAATTCAAATTATGTTATGATTTTACAAATTAAGCACCAAAACATCATCTTTTACAGCAAATCAACAGAAAAAGCAGTTCAATGACGTTATGTAGTAATTACTGTATTTATGACTTTAGCACCAAAACATTGCAATGTATTGAAACACAGAATAATAGAATCATAGAGTTGGAAGAGACCTCATGGGCCATCCAGTCCAACCCGCTGCCAAGAAGTAGGAAAATTGCATTCAAAGCATCCATCCAGCCTCTGTTTAAAAGCTTCCAAAGAAGGAGCCTCCACCACACTCCGGGGTAGAGAGTTCCACTGCTGAACAGCTCTCACAGTCAGGAAGTTCTTCCTCATGTTCAGATGGAATCTCCTTTCTTGTAGTTTGAAGCCATTGTTCCGCGTCCTAGTCTCCAGGGAAGCAGAAAACAAGCTTGCTCCCTCCTCCCTATGACTTTCTCTCACGTATTTATACATGGCTATCATGTCTCCTCTCTTTTCTTCAGGCTAAACATTCCCAGCTCCTTAAGCCGCTCCTCATAGGGCTTGTTCTCCAGACCCTTGATCATTTTAGTCGCCCTCCTCTGGACACATTCCAGCTTGTCAACATCTCTCTTCAATTGTGTGGCCCAGAATTGGACACAATATTCCAGGTGTGGTCTAACCAAGGCGGAATAGAGGGGTAGCATGACTCCCCTGGATCTAGACACCATACTCCTATTGATGCAGGCCAAAATCCCATTGGCTTTTTGTGGATCTGTGGATCCTGGCAAGACGCAGACTGTATTGGATAATACAGAATGTTGGATGAGCGAAGGTTGGATAAGGGGGACTCTACTGTACTTTTACTGCTATGGCTCAAAGCTATGGAGTTGTCGGAGTTATATTTTTAAAAAGCCTTCTCAGCCAAAGAGTGCTGGGGCCTCATTCCAACACCTTAAGTCAAGAAATAGCTTTCTAAGAGCTAGAGAGATACTCCCAGGAACACCTCAGCAAGCAAGAGTCCAAAAGTGGCAGGCTAAAACTCGGAACCTCAACCCATGGCTGAGACCTGATGAGAGACTCCCTCCTGGGCACACAGAAGACTGGACGACTTGGAAGGCACTGAACAGGTTGATTCTGGCACCACGAGATGCAGAGCCAACCTTAAGAAATGGGGCCACAAAGTGGAGTCCATGACATGCGAGTGTGGAGAAGAGCAAACCACAGACCACCTATTATAATGCAACCTGAGCCCTGCCACAAGCACAATGGAGGACCTTCGTCTAGCAACACCAGAGGCACTCCAAGGACATTTAATATAATGCCAAGGTTTTCAAACTTTGTGTTTTTAAAAATACATTACAATTGTACCCTTGGTTCGCTTCTGATACGATAAATAAGAACCAAACTACAATTCCCACTATACCATAGCATTGAGCCACATAAGTAAAAGTGGTGTTAAACTGCATTAATTCACATCCTAATGTTTTGAGCCATCAACTAGAGAAGGTACAAGCCAAACAGTAGTAGTTTCCCTTGGGGTAAAATCTCTGGCACTTTTAGATAGAGACAACAAGGAAAACATGCGGGCCACTTGTTTAGTACACAAGTAAACTAGTTTCTCAGGTTCTGGCATCACAAATGAGTGCAAAAGATAAACCAGATGATTGATGGGTCTCTTTGAAAGGCAGGCAAGATTAAATCTCACTCCTTTGACCTGGATCTCTTTACTGAAAAGAGTCTACAGGCTGTTAGGAATTGTGGGAGTTGAAGTCCAAAACACCTGGAGGGCCCAAGTTTGCCCATGCCTGCTGTAGATGCATCCTGAGAGACAGACAGGAGGCAGGGGTGGAAAAAACCCCAGCTTTTGGTGATATTTTTGGGAATACACCCACCCCACGCGTGACCTTTTTCCACGCGTGATCGATGCCCCCCAAACCCACTGTGGCACCATGAGAGACATACAAGATGCAGTGATGGAAACAAACCAGATTGTGGTGATATTTTTGGGCAGGAACCCACCCCACGCGTGACCCTTTCCACGCGTGATCGACGCCCCCCAAACCCACTATGGCACCATGAGAGACATACAAGAGGCAGGGATGGAAACAAACCAGATTGTGGCGATATTTTTGGGCAGGAACCCACCCCACGCGTGACCCTTTCCACGCGTGATCGACGCCCCCCAAACTTACTGTGGCACCATGAGAAACATACAAGAGTCAGGGATGGAAACAAACCAGACATTTGGCGATATTTTTGAGCAGGAACCCACCCCACGCGTGACCCTTTCCACGCGTGATCGACGCCCCCCAAACCCACTATGGCACCATGAGAGACATAAAAGAGGCAGGGATGGAAACAAACCAGATTGTGGCGATATTTTTGGGCAGGAACCCACCCCACGCGTGACCCTTTCCACGCGTGATCGACGCCCCCCAAACTTACTGTGGCACCATGAGAAACATACAAGAGTCAGGGATGGAAACAAACCAGACATTTGGCGATATTTTTGAGCAGGAACCCACCCCACGCGTGACCCTTTCCACGCGTGATCGACGCCCCCAAACCCACTATGGCACCATGAGAGACATAAAAGAAGCAGGGATGGAAACAAACCAGATTGTGGCGATATTTTTGAGCAGGAACCCACCCCACGCGTGACCCTTTCCACGCGTGATTGACGCCCCCCAAACCCACTATGGCACCATGAGAGACATAAAAGAGGCAGGGATGGAAACAAACCAGATTGTGGCGATATTTTTGGGCAGGAACCCACCCCACGCGTGACCCTTTCCACGCGTGATCGACGCCCCCCAAACTTACTGTGGCACCATGAGAAACATACAAGAGTCAGGGATGGAAACAAACCAGACATTTGGCGATATTTTTGAGCAGGAACCCACCCCACGCGTGACCCTTTCCACGCGTGATCGACGCCCCCAAACCCACTATGGCACCATGAGAGACATAAAAGAAGCAGGGATGGAAACAAACCAGATTGTGGCGATATTTTTGAGCAGGAACCCACCCCACGCGTGACCCTTTCCACGCGTGATTGACGCCCCCCAAACCTACTATGGCACCATGAGAGACATACAAGAGGCAGGGATGGAAACAAACTAGATTGTGGTGTTATTTTTGGGGCAAGAACCCACCCCACGCGTGACCCTTTTCCACGCGTGATCGACCCCAAACCCACTCAGTTAACGTCCACGTCTTGCAAAAGGACTCCAATACCAACCCAAGGAGTGTGTGCGTGGATCCCCACGCGTGTCATTGACACACACAACAAGGAAGGAGAAGGAAGGGGAAGGGAAGTGGGGGGGGGGGGAAGAGAAGGATGAAATGCACTTACTCCTTTCTCCTGGGAGCACAATACACCGCAGGAGGGACACAAGAAAGCCCCTTCTTCTCCTCCTGCTTCTTCCCTCCTCCTTGGAAAGCAATACAATGGAATGAGATAGGCATAAATCTCCTGCCTTTTGAGGGGTTGGAGCAGCAAAGACAGAGAGAGAGAGAGAGAAAGGGAAAGAGTGCCAAGGGATGCGGCAGCCAGCATTGAACTGCATGCAGCAGAGTCCAGGCTGCCAGGCTCTTCTTCTTCCTCCTCTTCTTCTCTTGGAGGGAGTTCTTCCTTTTGCCATCCATTTATATATTTATTTAAATGTATGCAGGGCGTTCCGAAAAAAAAAATCCCCTGGCAATTTATCATTCTGGAAAGGAATAAAGGCAAAAGCATTCTGTACTATTTTTCCCACCCCTTTTAAGATGTATAGTACATTATTAACAGTTCAGGAGACTGGAATTACATTGTATTGCTTTTGCAATTTCCTTCCCCACCAAAAAAATATGTATACAACCTTAAGAGTTTAGGAATCTGGAATTAACAGTTTAAAATTCTAATTCCAATTATTTTTCCCACCCCTTTAAGATGTGTACATTATTAACAGTTCACGAGTCTGGAATTACATTGTATCGCTTTTGCAATTTCCTTCCCCACAAAAAAATATGTATACAACCTTAAGAGTTTGGGAATCTGGAATTAACAGTTTATAATTCTAGTTCCAATTATTTTTCCCACCCCTTTAAGATGTATACATTATTAACAGTTCTGGAATTATATCGTATTGATTTTGCAACTTCCTTCCCCACAAAAAAAATTGTATGCAACCTTAAGAGTTTAGGAATCTGGAATTATAATTCTAATTCCAATTATTTTTCCCACCCCTTTAAGATGTATACATTATTAACAGTTCAGGAGTCTGGAATTACATTGTATTGCTTTTGCAATTTCCTTCCCCACAAAAAAATGTAGACAACCTTAAGAGTTTGGAAATCTGGAATTAATTAAGTTTATAATTCTAATTTTAGTATACGTGCTGCCAAAGCTAGCAGAGTTTATAATTCTGTGTGTGTGTATACATATACATATACGTATATATGTGTGTGTGTGTATATACCAACAATACCAACATAATAATACATGTGGGGGAAATGCAGTATGTGTATATGTGTGTATACCAACAATACCAACATAATAATACATTTGGGGGAAAGGCAACATCTATATCTCTATATCTGTGTGTGTGTGTGTGTGTGTATACCAACAATACCATCATAATAAATCATTTGGGGGAAATGCAGTGTGTGTATATGTGTGTATACCAACAATACTAATATAATAATACATTTGGGGAAAATGCAACATATATATCTATATATCTATATCTATATGTGTGTTTGTGTTTATGCCAACAATAATAACATAATAATACATTTGTGAGAAATGCAACGTATCTATCTATCTATCTGTGTGTGTGCGCATATTTGTGTTTGTGTACACCAACAATACCAGCATAGGGTTGTTGTAGGTTTTTTCGGGCTATATGGCCATGGTCTAGAGGCATTCTCTCCTGACGTTTCGCCTGCATCTATGGCAAGCATCTCTCAGAGGATGCTTGCCATAGATGCAGGTGAAACATCAGGAGAGAATGCCTCTAGACATGGCCATATAGCCCGAAAAAACCTACAACAACCCAGTGATTCCCCCACATTTTAAATAATAAAAAACTCTAGAACATGGCCATATAGCCCGAAAAAACCTACAACAACCCAGTGATCCCGGCCATGAAAGCCTTCGACAAGACATTGAATATCAGCATAATAATACATTTGGGAGAAATGCAACATATCTATCTATATATCTATGTGTTTGTGTGTGTGTGTATATCAACAATACCAACATAATAATACATTTGGGGGAAATGCAATGTATATATCTATATATCTATATCTATGTGTGTGTTTGTGTGTGTGTGTATACCAACATAATAATACATTTGTGGGAAATGCAACATCTATATCTATATATCTATATCTATATCTAAGTATGTTTGTATACCAACAGTACTACCATAATAATACATTTGGGGGAAATGCAACATATATATCCATATATCTATATCTCTGTGTGTGTGTATACCAACAACACAACCATAATAATACATTTGGGGGAAATGCAGCATATATATCCATATATCTATATCTGTGTGTGTGTATATACCAACAATACCAACATAATAATACATTTGAGGGAAATGCAATGTATCTATCTATTTCTGTGTGTGAGAGTGTATACCAACAATACTAACATAATAATACATTGGGGGAGAAAGTGCGCTCTCTCTCTCTCTCTCTCTCTATATATATATATATATATATATTCTCCCAAATATATTATTATGTTGGTATTATTTGTATATATGCATATATCATACACACACCTACATATACATTTATTTATTTTATAGTATTTATACCCCACCCTTCTAACATGTACACATATACATCCAGAATTGTCAGCTGTTAAGGGTGTATCATTTTGGAGGGGAGGAAATTGCAAAACCAATATAATTCCGGACTCGTAAAACACACACATCCCTTCCCCCCAAATATATTATTATGTTGGTATTGCAGTTTCCTAACCCACAAAAAAATCTATACAACCTTAAGAGTTTATTATTCTGGAATCATCAGTTTATAATTCTGAATAGAGATATAGGTATAATAAACATATGTATATCTCATGCACATACACATCCCAATGTAAACACTTTTAACAGTGGGTTGCTGTGACATTTCTGTGCTGTATAGCCTTTTAACAGTTTATGAGTCTGTTATAAACTTGTTAAGGGTGTATCATTTTGGAGGGGAGGAAATTGCAAAACCAATATAATTCCGGACTCGTAAAACACACACATCCCTTCCCCCCAAATATATTATTATGTTGGTATTGCAGTTTCCTAACCCACAAAAAAATCTATACAACCTTAAGAGTTTATTATTCTGGAATCATCAGTTTATAATTCTGAATAGAGATATAGGTATAATAAACATATGTATATCTCATGCACATACACATCCCAATGTAAACACTTTTAACAGTGGGTTGCTGTGACATTTCTGTGCTGTATAGCCTTTTAACAGTTTATGAGTCTGTTATAAACTTTTCAGTCTATGAGTCTGGAATTATCACAATGGTTTTGTAATATTTTCCCCAATATGTAATACACCTTTCAGTTTATGTTTCTGGAATTATTATACTGGTTTTGCAATTTCTTTCCCCATAATGTATACATTCTTAAGTGTGTGTGTGTGCGTAAACACACACACACACCCTTAACAGCTATGTATCTTTTCGATCTATCTATTATCTATCATTTATCAACTACCTATTGACTGACTGATTGTCTATCATTTAGTTATTTATCATACCTATCTATCTATCATATTATTAAGGAAGATCTATAATCTCTCTATTGATCAGTTTATTGTATATCACTATCATTTAGCTATGTATCATATCAATATCTCTATTATCTATCTATTTATTGTCTATCTCCATCTATCATTTAGTTATGTATAATTCCCAGCTGTCTATCATATTAAGGAAGATCTATCATCTATTTTTTTATTTATTTATTTATTACATGTTGCTATAATTTAGTTATGTATCATATCACTCTATTATCCATGTTATCAATAAAGCAGATCTATCATCTATTTATTGATTCAGTATCTATCATTTAACTATGTATTTATTTATTATTATTTATTTATTTACTTTGCTTATATACCGCTGTATCTCAAGCCCGAAGGCGACTCACAGCGGTTCACAAACAGTAAAAACAGTAGAAACAGCAGTGGTTCCATACAACATATAACAATTGACTTAACACATTATCCATAAATTACCAATAAGCAATTACAATGCACAATTATTACGAAAAACAACCGTACCCAATCTTCTCATCATCCAAGCGTAGTCCAGGTTCGTCGTCCCTTGTTCCATTCCTATGTTCCATTACCAGATTGCACTAAATTACTCAAACGCCTGCACAAACATCCAGGTCTTCACCTTTTTGCGGAATACCATTAGAGATGGTGCTAGTCTAATGTCCGTAGGAAGGGCGTTCCACAGCCGAGGAGCCACCACCGAGAAGGCCCTATCTCTCGTCCCCGCCAGCCGAGCTTGAGAAGCAGGCGGGATTGAGAGCAGGCTCTCCCCGGAAGATCTCAAAGTCCTGGTGGGTTCATAGGCAGAGATGCGGTCAGATAGGTCAGATAGGTCAGATATGTATCCTATCCTTCTATCTATATATCATATCTATCCATCTACAAGCCCTATGAGGAGCGGCTTAAGGAGCTGGGCATGTTTAGCCTGAAGAAGAGTAGGCTGAGAGGGGCTATGATAGCCATGTATAAATATGTGAGAGGAAGCCACAGGGAGGAGGGAGCAAGCTTGTTTTCTGCTTCCCTGGAGACCAGGATGCTGAAAAATGGCTTCAAACTACAAGAGAGGAGATTCCATCTGAACATGAGGAAGAACTTCCTGACTGTGAGAGCCGTTCAGCAGTGGAACTCTCTGCCCCGGAGGGAGTGTGGTGGAGGCTCCTTCTTTGGAAGCTTTTAAACAGGGTCTGGATGGCCATCTGTCAGGGGTGATTTGAATGCAATATTCCTGCTTCTTGGCAGGGCATTGGACTGGATGGCCCATGGGGTCTCTTCCAACTCTGATTCTATGATAATACCAACATAATAAAACATTTGGGGGAAATGCAGTGTGTGTATATGTGTGTATACCAACAATACTAATATAATAATACATTTGGGGAAAATGCAACATATATATCTATATATCTATATGTGTGTTTGTGTGTATGCCAACAATACTAACATAATAATACATATCTATAATAATACACGTATCTATCTATCTATCTATCTATCTATCTGTTTTCGTACGCACATTTGTGTGTGCGTGTATACCAACAATACCAACATAATAATACATTTGGGGGAAATACAACATATATATCTATATATCAATATCTGTGTGTGTGTATATATATACATATATACCAACAATACCAACATAATAATACTTTTGGGGGAAATGCAACATCTACATCTATATATCTATATCTGTGTGTGTATACCAACAATTCCAGCATAATAATATTTTTGGGGGAAATGCAACATATCTATCTATCTGTGTGTGCGTGCGCATTTATTGATTACCTATCATTTAACTATGGATCCTATCTGTCTATCTATATATCATATCTATCCATCTATTATTTAATTGTGTATCATATCTATTTATTTATCATATTATTATGGAAGATCTATCTTCTATCTGTTGATTTATTTATTGTATACTGCTATCATTTAGTTATGTATCATATCAATCTATTCTCTAGCTATGATATTAATAAGGAAGATATGTCATAGAATCATAGAATCCTAGAGTTGGAAGAGACCTCATGGGCCATCCAGTCCAACCCCATTCTGCCAAGAAGCAGGAATATTGCATTCAAATCACCCCTGACAGATGGCCATCCAGCCTCTGTTTAAAAGCTTCTAAAGAAGGAGCCTCCACCACACTGTCATCTATCATTAAACTATGTATCATATCTGTTTATCTATATATCATATCCATCAGCCTATTCACATTCACTCTAACCACACTTTTAGCGTTACGTCCCCTTTAACACCAGCTGATCGCTTGCCGGCCTTCTCGCCGCTGAGCATCAAGGGAATTGTAGTTCTGCTTTCCCCTGGAGGCGGTTGCAGGAGCGGCCTGGTGAAATACAATTCCCGACGTGCCTTGCGGGAGGAGGTTGGCGTTTCCTTGTCACTTTCCCGCCCGGCTCCTAAGGCTGGGCATTAAAGGGCCCCCTCGCTCAGCCTCCTGCCCTTTTCCCCAGTGCATTTCCTCTGCTTTCCATCGCCTGGAGTAAGGAGGGCTCCAGAGGAGAGACAGGTAGGAAAAGGTAGGTGAGGCCAATGGCTAAGAGGCAGGTGAGCAAACAACAGGGCAGGGGAGGGATGAATTGGGAAGCCCTCCAACCCTTTGGGGTGCTGATCTCATTTAGTGTTGGAATATGTTCTAACACCAAAGCCAAGTCCATTTTAAACTATGACTTTCCAATGTACCATTTCATTGGTATGCATGATTTTAATGTATTTCCATATATTTCCATATATTTTAATGGTCTTATGTTTTACCCATGCGTTTCAACTATATAGTAGCCCTAAGAATAATAATAATAAGTCAAGGTGGTCCCAGTGGTGATCGGCACACTGGGCGCAGTGCCTAAAGACCTTGGCCTGCACTTAAATACAATCAGCGCTGACAAAATTATCACAAAAGGCCACCTTACTAAGATCTGCACGCATTTTTCGCCAATACATCACACAGTCCTAGACACTTGGGAAGTGTCAGACGTGTGATCCAAAACAACAGCCAGCAGAGTGATCTTGTTTGCAGTGGACTCATCTTGTTGTGTTTTCAAATAATAATAATAATAATAATAATAATAATAATAAGTCAAGGTGGTTCCAGTGGTGATCGGCACACTGGGCGCAGTGCCTAAAGACCTTGGCCTGCACTTAAATACAATCAGCGCTGACAAAATTATCACAAAAGGCCACCTTACTAAGATCTGCATGCATTTTTCGCCAATACATCACACGGTCCTAGACACTTGGGAAGTGTCAGACGTGTGATCCAAAACAACAGCCAGCAGAGTGATCTTGTTTGCAGTGGACTCATCTTGTTGTGTTTTCAAATAATAATAATAATAATAATAATAAGTCAAGGTGGTCCCAGTGGCGATCGGCACACTGGGTGCAGTGCCTAAAGACCTTGGCCTGCACTTAAACACAATCGGCGCTGACAAAATTATCACAAAAGGCCACCTTACTGGGATCTGCACGCATTATTCACCGATACATCACACAGTCCTAGACACTTGGGAAGTGTCCGGCATGTGATCCAATACAACAGCCAGCAGAGTGATCTTGTTTGCAGTGGACTCATCTTGTTGTATTTCAAACAACAACAACAATAATGTTGCGAGTTTTGGAGCACAATACTCCTGACCTCACAATCGTGTTAACAAATAACAACAACAACAATGTTGCGAGTTTTGGAGCACAATACTGCTGACCTCACAATAGTGTTAAAAAACAAAGTATGGATCATCGATGTTGCAATCCCAGGTGACAGCAGGATTGAAGAGAAACAACTGGAAAAGCTGACACGATATGAGGATTTAAAGATTGAACTGCAAAGACTCTGGCACAAGCCAGTCAAGGTGGTCCCAGTGGTGATCGGCACACTGGGTGCAGTGCCTAAAGACCTTGGCCTGCACTTAAACACAATCGGGGCTGACAAAATTACCATTTGTCAGCTGCAAAAGGCCACCTTACTGGGATCTGCACGCATTATTCGCCGATACATCACATAGTCCTAGACACTTGGGAAGTGTCAGATTTGTGATCCAAAACAACAGCCAGCAAAGTGATCTTGTTTGCTGTTGACTCATCTTGTTGTGTTTTATAATAATAATAATAATAATAATAATAAGTCAAGGTGGTCCCAGTGGTGATCGGCACACTGGGTGCAGTGCCTAAAGACCTTGGCCTGCACTTAAACACAATCGGCGCTGTCAAAATTATCACAAAAGGCCACCTTACTGGGATCTGCACACATTATTCGCCAATACATCACACGGTCCTAGACACTTGGGAAGTGTCCGACGTGTGATCCAATACAACAGCCAGCGGGGTGATCTTGTTTGCAGTGGACTCATCTTGTTGTGTTTCAAATAATAATAGTAATAATGATGATGCTGATGGTGTTGCAATCCCAGACGACAGCACGATTGAAAAGAAACAACTGGAAAAGCCGACACGATATGAGACAATTTATTTTTCAATATTTATTTATCGTGTCATCAGCAACCATTGTATTACAATTCTAACAGAGCAAAACAAACAGAGCAAAACAAACACAGAAATTAAAAAGGAAAAAAAGGAAAAAAAACCACACAGATTTTGCAAATTTGGTATTTGGTTAAATGTCCTTTGACCAGTATCTGGCCACTTGGAGTGCCTCTGGGGTTGTCAGCTTGTTCATTTCTTGTTCCCACATGCTGCTGTGAGCCAAAGTTGGTAAACCATAACACAGGTTATTGGGTTTTTTCCCCTGTTGTTGAGCAGCGTCAACCTAGATTGCCTATGATTTTAAGGCTGACTTCAAGAGATCATAGGCACATAGCCAGGGGATAGGGCCAATATAACCATCCAGCCCATGTGGAAATTTACACTGCTTAGCTGTGCCTTTCTTTGCATTGTGACATAAGAATGCTGAAAATATATGATAGATATATTTGTGAAAGGAAGGTTTTAAATAAGGATCAGGAGTCTTTGGTGGTGCAGTGGGTTAAACCACTGAGCTACTGAATTTGCTGGCTGGAAGGTCGGTGGTTCAAATCCAGGGAGCAGGGTGAGCTCCTGTTGTTAACCCCAGCTTCTGCCAACCTATCAGTTTGAAAACATGCAAATGTAAGTAGATCAATAGGTACTGCTCGGGTGGGAAGGTAATGGCGCTGCATGCAGTCATGCTGGCCACATGACTTTGGAGGCATCTACAGACAACGCCGGCTCTTTGGCTTAGAAATTGAGATGAGCACCACCCCCTAGAGTTGGACACGATTAGACCTAATGTCAAGGGGAAACCTTTAGCTTTACTTTGGAGATTACATATACCTTAGAAAAGATATATACTTTGATTGTAACTCCAAGAAGCCAATCGAGCTTTCAAACCTGCCCCAACCAAGACTTATAGTGGGCTAATATAATTATATTTCTCATTTACTCGTAAACATGCACACTCCAAGACTCAGGCTATGTCACAAATTAAAAAGAGTATACAGAGAGCTTAATCATTAAACCTTAATGTCTTCAGATATCATTGAACTACCACCCCCGACATTCCTCGGCAGCATTGGCTATGTCTGTTGGACCTTACAGTCCAAACCACATCTCAAGGGCTACATGTAGATTATGCCAGGCATGTGATATACACTTGGTCCTGTGTATCCACAGAGTCTGCATCCATATATTCAACTGTATGTGTCTTTTAAATATTTTTTAAAATATTGATTTTGCCATTTTATACAAGGAATACCATTTTATATGTATCTCATTGATTTATTTACTTACGACATTTACATGCCACCCTTCTCACTCCGAAGGGGACTCAGAGCAGCTTACAAAATATATATACATACAATATATTATATTATTAGTTTAGTACAATATCAATATAAACATTACTATATTGTATTATACCATTATATTGTAATATTATTAGTAATATTACATGTAATATAAATATATAATTATAATATCATATTATTATTAGTAGTATTATATTGCATTACATTATAATATTATAAATATTATATGTATATACACAAACATATGTATATGTAAATACACATGACCTTGGAGGTGTCTACGGACATCGCCGGCTCTTCGGCTTAGAAATGGAGATGAGCACCACACCCCAGAGTCAGACATGACTGGGACTACCTTTACCTTATATATATTATATTGTACTTTACCATTATATTGTAATATTATTAGTAATATTACATGTAATATAAATATATAATTATAATATCATATTATTAGTAGTATTATATTGCATTACATTATAATATTATAAATATTATATGTATATACAATATATTATATTACATTATAATGGGACTTAAGCATCCATGGAAAGTTCTGGAAACAAACATCAGCAGATACTATATTCACTCTGCTATAAATATACATTTGGCTTATTTGAGGTGGCGAAATGAAGGTAGTAAATATTCCATTGACAAAGTAATGCTGATGAACATATTTACACCGTTATCAAAAATATACCTGTATTTCCTGCGTAAAGGGATACTTTCCAGGGCTACTTAGCTAGATTCCTCCTCGAATCGACATCCTAAAATTGCCAAGCTGTGCGGGATTCTGGATGATATGCTATTCAGCTGCTGAGTACATCTGACCGCATCTCTGTATACAAACCCACACGATCTCTTCGATCATCTGGAGAGGCCCTGCTCTCGATCCCACCTGCATCGCAGGCACAATTGGTGGGGACGAGAGAGAGGGCCTTTTCGGTGGTGGCCCCTCGACTCTGGAACTCACTCCCTAAGGACATCAGGCAGGCCCCAACTCTGGCAATCTTTAGGAGGAGTTTGAAGACATGGTTGTTCCAGTGTGCCTTCCCAGAATAATGAGCCCATAGCACTTGGTCCTCCAAAGCACTTTACATATTAGGTCTGCTGGTACATTTTCCATAAACGCCACCTTCACCTTTTGCCCATGTCCCGGCATCATTTCCAATTTTAACTTTACATTTGGCCTTCCCACTGTTTTTAATTGTGTGTTGTCTTATTGTTAATTGTTGCATATTTTATTGTCTATGTTTTTTTTTAATTTTAATTGCTTGTATTGTTGTTATTATTGCTTGTATTGTTGTATTTGGGCTCGGCCTCATGTAAGCCACACCGAGTCCCTTTGGGAGATGGTAGTGGGGTACAAATAAAGTGTTATTATTATATGATTTCACAATGTTTCCTTGAAGCTGTTCAGACCAACTTATATTTAGTTCCCTGGACCAGTGCCACTGACCCTTCTAATTTGCAGGTATTTTGAAGCTACTGCATTGTTTAGAGAGATGATCCATATTGGCCGTCCACCCTTGTTTATCTTGTAAGGAGAGTAGTACCTTCTGCCTCTTGCTATCAATTAGTACTACTGTTACAGAGCTTGGAAACATCACTTTTTCAACTACACTTCCCAGAATCCCCCAGCCAGTTTCAAAAGCTAAATAACTCATCATTGAATATCTGGTACTTGTTTTTTCCTATCCCTAGATCTGTTCCTGACATTGAGCTCTTCTCCTATCATGTCGGAGCCGATAACGCTAAACGTCGGTGGGAAGTTGTATACCACTTCGCTCTCCACCTTGACCAGCTTCCCAGATTCCATGTTGGGTGCCATGTTCAGTGGGAAGATGCCCACCAAGAGGGACGGCCAAGGCAACTGCTTCATCGACAGAGACGGGAAGGTTTTCCGCTACATCCTCAACTTCTTGAGAACCTCTCACCTGGACCTCCCTGAAGACTTCCAAGAAATGGGGCTGCTCCGACGAGAAGCAGATTTCTACCAGGTCCAGCCGTTGATCGAGGCCTTGCAGGAGAAGGAGGTGGAGCTCTCCAAAGCAGAAAAGAACGCCATGCTCAATATCACCTTGGACCAGAGGATTCAGATGGTTCATTTCACGGTACGTGAAGCTCCCCAGATCTACAGCCTGTCGTCTTCCAACATGGAAGTGTTCACCGCTCACATATTCAGCACCTCCAGCTTGTTTCTGAAGCTTCTAGGATCTAAAGTCTTCTACTGTTTCAACGGCAACCTCTCCTCAATATCCAGCTACCTGGAAGATCCCTACCATGTCACCTTAGACTGGGTTGCGAGTGTAGAAGGCCTTCCTGAAGAAGAGTACACCAGGCAGAACTTGAAGCGATTGTGGGTATTGCCGTCTAAGAAGCAAATTAACAGTTTCCAGATGTTTGTGGAAGAGGTACTGAAAATTGCCATGAGCGATGGCTTTTGCGTCGATTCTTCTCACCCGCACTCCTCTGATTTCATGAATAATAAGATTATCCGGCTAATTCGGTATAAGTAGACAAAGCTTTTTGTATTTTTCAGTGGTAGCGAGGACATGTTGGACTCGTGTCTTCTCAACATAAGGCCCAGATGCACTAATCTGAATTTGGAAGTTAATCCTCACTTGATTGACTAACTTCCACTAATTTGGAAGTTAATCCTCACTTGGTTGACTAACCGGTCTGCGTTGACACTCAGATAGGGATGGGCAATGAATTGGTATGTGGGCTAAATGGAGCAACTGCACAATTCACTTTCAGCAGGACTTTGTCAACAGACTGTGCTTCTCCAAGAAACATTGTTCGAAAGGGAGGAGTCCGTTTTGTCATTGTTATGATGGCACCAGCAGTGGCATTAGCACTGGGAGAAGGGAGTGTCTGCATCATACTTGTTCTTCCCTCTTTTTGCTTGTTTGATGCTATTGTGCCTGGTAGAGAAGAAGCAAAACATCAAGGCAGAAAAGGTGAAGAAGGGAAGAAGGGACAATATTGCAGGACTGAGTTGTATTGAGTTTATAGAATAGCCCACAGCTGGAATGAAACTGCCCATCTCTACTCTGGAAAAACAATTAGTAATATTTGAATGGTTTACTAATCAGTGTTTCTCAACCTGGGGGTCGGGACCCCTGTGGGGGTCGCTAGGGGGTGTCAGAAGGGTCGCCAAAGTCCATCAGAAAACAGTATTTTCTGTTGGTCATGGGGGTTCTGTGTGGGAAGTTTGGTCCAATTCTATCACTAGTGGGGTTCAGAATGCTATTTCATTGTGGGTGAACTACAAATCCCAACAACTACAACTCCCAAATGTCAAGGTCTATTTTCCCCGAACTCCACCAGTGTTCACATTTGGGCATAATGAGTATTTGTGCCAAGTTTCATCCAGATCTACCATTGTTTGAGTCCACAGTGTTTTCTGGGTGTAGGTGAACTACAACTCCAAAAACTCAAGGTCAATGTCCACCAGACCCTCCCAGTATTTCCTCTTGGTCATGGGAATTCTGTGTGCCGAGTTTGATTCAATTCCCTCATTGGTGGAGTTCAGAAGGCTCTGTGATTTTAAGTGAACTATAAATCCCAGCAATTCTAACATTCCCAAATGACAAAATCAATCACCCCCAACCCCACCAGTATTCAAATTTGGGCATATCGAGTATTTGGGATTTGAAAATACATCCTGCATATCGGATATTTACATGACGATTCATAACAGTACCAAAATTACAGTTATGAAGTAGCAACAAAAATAATGTCACCACAACATGAGGAACTCTGTTAAGGGGTCACAGCATTAGGAAGGTTGAGAAACACTGGTTTACTTAAAGATGGGGGATTTAAGATTTTCTTCTTTTGTCTACTGGCAGAAGACGACTACTAATCTCTTATTTTCCCTCTGGATACTAGTGCAATCTAATTTATCAGAAATTGCTGCTATGAATCTACAATTCTTAGGGATGTATGCACTTGTGCACAAACTAAACTTCAGCAGTGAAAAGGTTTCTGAGTGAAGAAAACCTCTGAGTTGAGCATAGCGTGATAATTGTTGAAACACATTCCCTCACCTACATCATATGAGCTCTGGCACATAAATATAAATATGCTCAAATCCCTCAGTCACAGTTTTGCCTCTTATTTTTAAATGTGAACGCCTAGTTTATCAGATTTAGAAGAAATAAAGAAGCAAGCTCTAGATGTTTGGAGTGACAACAACAGGAGAAAATGGAGCAAGGCAAAATGGTAGGAAGCTATTAGTGCTAGACATTTGCACAAACTGTCCTGCTGACTGGTTGCCAGAAGGCAAAGGAAGCAACTTGACGATGCCCACCAGCCATTCAAGAAACACAGCCCACAAAAGTTAGACAACAACAAAATACGTTCTTGGAGCCCTTTTAGAATTCACAAGATTTAAAAAAAAATCACAAGCTGGTTCCTAGACATCTAGTAAAGTAAAGGTAAAGGTTTTCCCCTGACATTAAGTCTAGTCATGCCCGACTCTGGGGGGTTGTGCCCATCTCCATTTCTAAGCCGAAGAGTCAGTGTTGTCCATAGTCGCCTCCAAGGTCATGGGGCTAGCATGACTAAATGGAGTGCCATTACCTTCCTGTCAGAAGCGGTATAGAATCATAGAATCAAAGAGTTGGAAGAGACCTCATGGGCCATCCAGTCCAACCCCCTGCCAAGAAGCAGGAATATTGCATTCAAATCACCCCTGACAGATGGCCATCCAGCCTCTGTTTAAAAGCTTCCAAAGAAGGAACTTCCACCACACTCCAGGGCAGAGAGTTCCACTGCTGAACGGCTCTCACAGTCAGGAAGTTCTTCCTCATGTTCAGATGGAATCTCCTCTCTTGTAGTTTGAAGCCATTGTTCCGCGTCCTAGTCTCCAGGGAAGCAGAAAACAAGCTTGCTCCCCCTCCCTGTGGCTTCCTCTCACATATTTATACATGGCTATCATATCCCTCTCAGCCTTCTCTTCTTCAGGCTAAACATGCCCAGCTCCTTAAGCCGCTCCTCATAGGGCTTGTTCTCCAGACCCTTTATCATTTTAGTCGCTCTCCTCTGGACACATTCCAGCTTGTCAATATCTCTCTTGAATTGTGGTGCCCAGAATTGGACACAATATTCCAGGTGTGGTCTAACTAAAGCAGAATAGAGGGGTAGCATTACTTCCCTATTGATCTACTCCCTATTGATCTACTATTGATCTATTGATCTACTCACATTTGCATGTTTTCGAACGACTAGGTTGGCAGAAGCTGGGGCTAACAGTGGGAGCTCACCCCGCTCCCCGGATTCAAACTGCCAACTTTTCAGTCAGCAAGTTCAGCAGCTCAGCGCTTTAACCAGCTGCGCCATCTAGACACCTAGAAGGGGAATCCATCTAGAGTAGTTGTTCCCAGGCTTTGATTCTCCAGATATTTTGGACTTCAGCTGTCAGAATTATTGACAGCTGGCCAAGCTGGTTTGGGCTGCTGGGAGTTGAAGTCATAATCATAGAATCAAAGAATTGGAAGAGACCTCATGGGCCATCCAGTCCAACCCCATTCTGCCAAGAAGCAGGAATATTGCATTCAAATCACCCTGACAGATGGCCATCCAGCCTCTGTTTAAAAGCTTCCAAAGAAGGAGCCTCCACCACACTCCGGGGCAGAGAGTTCCATCTGGAAAATCAGAGTTTGGGAACAAAGTATTTTGGCAGCAGTGAGCATAGGTAGCCATCTGACATTATTCATATGAGAAAGGGTAGGATATAAATTGAATAATAAGGCCAGCATAAGTCATCACATTGCAGACAGCATCTAGCTCACCAGTTTCACATGTTTATTTGTTTATCTTAGGTTGCAAACCTTTAAGCACTTACCTAAGAGTAAGATGAATGGGACATAGTGGGTTTTATGTCTAAGTAAGCACATACAATGTAGGGATTACAACACTGGGATTTATTACCAGTCTTTCATACAGAATTAGCGAGTTGGAAGAGACCGCAAGAGCCATCCAGTTCAACCCTATCCTGCCATGTAGGAAGACACCATCAAAGCACTAACAACAGATGACCATCCAGCCATCATAATGGTTTCCACTGGAGTAATACACTTAGTGGGGTTCTTCTATTGGTAAAGTCTAATGTGGTCTACAAGTTCCTTGAAATGCAAGTTCTGTTTTGTTGCTGTCAATAGAATAGTGCATAAGCAACAGAATCTTTCATACAAATTCAATTTATTTCTCTATGAATGCTTAGACCAGTTTGATTCTTTTGTGTCTTCTATTTCCTTGAATGTTATGTAAACTTGGAGCACATCCTTCAAAAGTTGCAAAATGTTGCATGTTGTCATGGAACAAATTTCTTTTTCCTTGGGTTATCTGTGGGACACAATTTTGTCATCTTTTTTGTGTGATACATTATTGCCTTTCAGTTGTGGGATTTTCACATGTTCTGTGATAATTTGCCAGAAATTAAAGTTTTGGCCAGTCTTGCTCTTGGATTTCCCTTGCAGTGTGGACTGCAAATGCAAATGGGTTGTGTTATTTTCTCTGTGCAGACCAGTACTTCTTATGCTATCTACAACTGACATTTTCCCACTCATGTTTATAGGATATGTTTATACCCATTAGCAGCAGCTATTTTCCTGGGTTGTTGTAGGTTTTTTCAGGCTATATGGCCATGTTCTAGAGGCATTCTCTCCTGACGTTTTGCCTGCATCTATGGCAAGCATCTGACCTCACTACCTCTGAGGATGCTTGCCATAGAGGCAGGCGAAACTTCAGGAGAGAATGCCTCTAGAACATGGCCATATAGCCCAAAAAAACCTACCATAACCCAGTGATTCCGGCCATGAAAGCCTTCAATAACTATTTTCCTGCTTTTTTTCTGGCCAGCAGCCACTGTCTTGTGGAGCAACACTTTGAGTAGCATTCTTATAGACCATAGATTAAAGTTCTTTCCTTTTTTCAATGTTGGTCACTTCTCATTTAGGGGTGGTTTTGGACCAAGTTTGGAATGCTAAATTTCAAATTAACTCCATAATATTGATGGTTAGAACTTTGAAAATCAATTTAATTGTTTAATTCGGGTTATTATTTGTTAAACTCTTTGCGTAACCGGGTTGTTTTAGGTTTATTCGGGCTGTATGGCCATGTTATAGCCAGAATAAACCTATATGGCCATGTTCTAGAACATGGCCATATAGCCTGAAAACAACCTACAACAACCCAGTGATTCCAGCCATGAAAGCCTTCGACAAGGCATGCATAACCATTTGGGAAAACTGGGAATCTTTGGAAAGGCATGACCTTGTTAGCTATTGTAACATAAAGTATGATCTTCCTGAGAAGAGTTAAAAACTCGCTTGAGTCAACCTTCTCCTTAGTAGTAAATATCCACTAGTATTTATTTATTAGGTTTCTCAGCTGTTAGACTGATATACCTAGATATCCCTTTGAACTATTAGGAACAAAGATATGCCAATGCACAAAAGCATATATATAAGAGTTCCAGAAGTGTTATTTTCAGTTGCCCAAGAAACATCTACTCTCCCTTAAAACATCTTGGTTTAAATCATGATCTTAAGAGACAAAAATAAGCCGACTTCTTTAAAAGTAACACAGTTGGTTTACTCACAAACTTCATGTAGTCAGCATACAGGTACTTTGCATATCAATCCAGTTACAGATAGGATTTGAAGTGTATATACTCAAGTATAAGCCTAGTTTTTCAGCCCTTTTTTAGGTTGAAAAAGTCCCCCTCGGCTTATACTCAAGTCAAGGTTATTTATTATTTTACTTTGTTATTATTTGTTTTACATTTATAATTTTGCTCTATTTATTATTATTACATTTATCATTTTACTCTATCATCATCATCTTCATCATTATTACATCTCTTTGTATATATAAATAGGGCTGTCTTATCACCACCAGGTATAAATATCACCAGATCTTGCCTGAGCTTGGAAGCTTGGGTCCCTTCTACACTGCCATATAAAATCCAAATTATTCTATTTATTTATATTGGTGTCAGGCATTCATAAAAGTGCCATTAAAAACTATCAACATTACAATATAAAACATAAATAAAAACTGTTAAAGCATATAATCATTGGTGTAATCTTGTTTAAAATGTTATCCAGTAACATCTGGCCATTCCATGTTCATCATTAATAGTTTCATATTATCTATTCCGCTGCATTCTCAAAAGCTTGCTCAAAGAGCCAGGTCTTTACTTTTTTTCAGAAAGTCAGGAGGGAGGGGGACGATCTAATTGTTAGCGTTAGCGGAAGTTTTGCACAGGCTTAGAAGAAAACATGGACTCTGGAGACGTCTGGTTACAAAGCAGGTTCAATTTACTTAGAGCAGTTCCAAAACACATCCATTACAGTAAGCGACCAAACATGAAGTACACAGTACGCAGGACGAAGGAAGTAGAAGTGTAAACAATTCTGCAGCTGCTTGGCAGATACCAGATGCTCCCTAATTTTTACACAACTCCACACAGAGAGTATCTCATGGTTACTTTCTCACAGCCTCTAACATAATAATAATAATAATAATAATAATAATAATAATAATCCTTTATTTATACCCCGCTACCATCTCCCGAAGGACTCGATGTGGCTTACAAGAGGCCGAGCCCAAATACATCAATAAAAAAGCAACAACAGCAATACAAACAATAAATAAACTCATAAAGCAATAAACAGTAACAATAACACTACAACGCATTAAAAACCTACGGTAGGGCCAAATGTCATAATTAAAATTTTAAAAATGCTGGGCATGACAAGGTGACCTATAACTAGAGGATAACTCCTATAACTAGGATATCCCTGGGGAGTGAGTTCCAGAGTCGAGGGGCCACCACCAAGAAGGCTCTTTGCCTCGTCCCCACCAATCGCGCTTGCGATGGTGGCGTGAGTGTGAGCAGGGCCTCTCCAGATGATCGAAGAGATAGTGTGGGTTCGTACACAGAGATGCGGTCACGCACATTTGATTCTTATTCATCCAAAGGTTCTTATTTCTGGGTTTTGTCTCTCCAAAACATCAGTAAATATGAGGAACAGAAAGACACACAAATGTACTACTTGTTTTGGGGTATTTAAATAATGTAGAACCAGAATCAATGAGTCTGTTTTACTTGATATATCAACTATAT